AGTCGGAGGGAACCGGTTCCCCGCCGCGCTGACAGCGGGGAAAGTGCAGGCAACAGGGAGAAAAACCAGTCTGGCGTGTGGGGAGAGCAAACCCTCCCTCCGAGCAGCCAGCGCCTTCCCCACGGGCACGGCCCCCCCGGCTGTCCCTCTCTGAGCGCTCCCCTCGTCCCCCCTAGGTGGGGTCTGGCACCCCAATTCCTGCTCGCCCAGCCCCGTGTGGAGCGTTAAGGACATGAAGGAGCCGGGAGGAGGATAAATCACAGCACTGGGGAGCTGGGCGGGATGTGCCCGGGTTCCTCCGTGCCAGCCTCAGTTGAATTTCCCGTGGGAGGGGATTGGGGTCACTGGGCACCGCTGGCAAAGTGGGGGCAGCCAGGGGGGGTTCCCAGGGCACCGGGCCGGGCAGAGCGGCTCCGGGAGAGGGTTGGGGGCTGGCACAGCCCCCTCCCTGCAAACCAGGCTCCATTCCACAGCCAGCCAGCTTCCAGGATGGATCCACGGCCAAGCGCAGGGGAAGGGGGCTCCCCAGACCCCCCGAGCTGGGGGAGCCCCCCACAGCAGCCCTGCACCGTCTGCTCCGCATCCCCAGCGCGCTGCTCTGCGGGGACCTGCGCCCGCTCGGGATTAATTAGCAGAGCTCTTTAATTCCCTGCCCTGCTCGCTCACACGGGCCCGTTACCCGCTCCCTGCCAAGCTGCTCCCAGCTCTCCAGCCCCAGCTGGGGACCCCAGCGACCCCGACAGGGTCCCCAAGGTGTCACTTTGCTCCCAGGACTCGGCTTTGCACCTGCTGGCTGCAAACCGGAGGCCTCGTCCCCAAACCCCATCAGCATGGCTCTCCCTGTCCCAAACCCCATCAGGGTGGCTCTCCCTGTCCCAAACCCCATCAGCTCCCTGTCCCAAACCCCATCAGCGTGGCTCTCCCTATCCCAAACCCCATCAGCATGGCTCTCCCTGTCCCAAATCCCATCAGCGTGGCTCTCCCTGTCCCAAACCCCATCAGCGTGGCTCTCCCTATCCCAGATCCCATCAGTCCCGAAGCGACGAGCCCTTGGCCACCGGCACATTCCCAGCCCCTCTTTCCAGGAAAGAGCAGCCCCACCGGCTCACCCACCGTATCCTGTTTTTGTGGAAAGTTCACGGCGGTGCCGCCAGCTCCCGACCCCGCTCCCGGGAATGCCCCAGGAGATGCCCAGGAGCGCTCTGAGCCTGGCAAATCCAGCAGCGGCCAGGAGCTCCTGCCACGGCTCAGGGAATGCAGCAGCTCGGGGGACAAGTGTCAGGGGCCACCCCCGTTCCCTGGCACACGCCGGGATGGCACAGGGCTCCCAGAGCCGCCGGCTCAGCTCTGGCACATAGCAGGACGCACATTCCCAGATCCACCAGCATTCCCAGCGGGGCTGTGACCGCGGCTGCCATATGGACCCTGCTGTCCTCACCCCAAGGGGACCCGCTGCACCCTGGGGAGCCCCCCACGCTGTCCCCCACCTCCCTGGGGCTATGGGGCTCAGTCCTGGGCACCCTGCGCCTCCCTCCCATCTTACCCTCCCATCCCTCCCATCCCCCGTGCCCGGGAGGAAGCTGCACTTATTGCTCTTGGAGACAGCGGTGGCTTTGCTTTTTCTTTTTTTTTCTAATTTAGTTTTGTTTTTTTTTTTTCCCCTCCTCTGTTTTATTTCCCTCGGTTTTATAAAAAGCACCTGACCGCAGGAGGCAGCTGCTGCAGCCCACGCTGGCACCCAGCTGAGCTCCGGCCCTGCGGACCCCAGGGACCCCCCAGCACCCCGGCCGGGCAGGGGGGGCTGTGTCCCCACACCGGGGGGTTTGGGGGGCACCGCAGCCTCAGGGAGGGGGTGCCACCCTCACCCATCACTTCAGGGAGCCACGGACCAGCGTGGCCACGACTGGCACTGGGGATCCCCCCTCGTGTGGGATTGTGGCCCCAGAGCGG